TAGACAGATAAATCCTAAATCCTATCTGCACCGCTGTTGTCACCGGTAGACAACTGGCAAGAGGTTTTTTTTTCTTCTTGATTTGACCTCCTTTTTTAAGCGCATGTAGCCACTGATACTGAATTTGTAGGACTATTCATCTTATTTCAGGCTATCTCTACCATTACTTGAGAGTTCCTAGCCTAACATTTTTATGGGTTGCTTGGTAATCATCTATTGGAAGGAAGGTGCTTAGAGAATATCTTTTGCATTTCTATTTTTTTTCTCCTAGTCATACTTCTTTTTCCATTCACTTCAATAATCTTAGCTTAAAATTTGCAATACAAGCCGAGTGCCAGTGGCTTATGACTGTAATCCTAACTACTCAGGAGGCTGAGATCAGAGGATCACAGTTCAAAGCCAGCCAGGCAAGAAAAGCCATGAGACTCTTACCTCCAATGAACCACCAGAAAACTAGAAGTGGCACTGTGACTCAAGTGGTAGGAGTGCTAGCCTTGAGCATGAAGAGCTGAGGGACAGTGCCCAGGCCCAGAGTTCAAGCCCCATGACTGAAAAAATAAAAATAAAAAATTGCAGTACAGAGGTGGAAGCTCACTAAGATATCAAGAGAGAATTTTTTTCCATAGAAAAAGTCAAAATAATTTGTAACGTCTGTAGGTTTCATGCATTGAAAGTGGGCAGTTTTAAATTATATTGTTTCTCATGCATTAAATTCCAGTCCTTTTATCCCACTAGCCTTTTAAATATTCATGATACTGTGAAGTATCATTAGACAGTATCCTATTCTACCTATACTTGGAAGAGCTAATTTCTTTCTGTCTAGCTGCAGTGTATATTTTATGGTTCTGAGAGAGTGGTTTTATTTATCTTTATTAAACATAGAAGCAAAAGAATTGAATGTTTTCAGTTAATTGTATTCAGATGTTGTAAGAAGAATGTAGGTGACATACTACAGATGATCAGAAGTACTATTTTACTTGTGATTTCAATTTTTTAAAAAGATCATTCACAGCGAGGCACTGGTGGCTCATGCCTGTAATCCTAACTACTCAGGAGGCTGAGATCTGAGGATCATGGTTCAAAGCCAGCCGGGGTAGGAAAGCCTGTGGGACTCTTACCTCCAATAAACTACTCAGAAAACCGGAAGTGGTGCCGTGCTCAGGTTAGAGCGCTCTCCTTGAGCAGAAGAGCTAAGGGACAGCGCCCAGGCCCAGAGTTCAAGTCCCACAACCAACAACAACAACAACAAAAGATCATACATATGCTGGGTGCTGGTGGCTTACACCTGTAATCCTAGCTACTCAAGAGATTGAGATCTGAGAATCACGGTTCAAAGACAACCCAAGCAGGAAAGTCTGTTAGACTCTTATCTCCAATTAACCAACAGAAAACCAGAAGTGGAGCTGTGGCTCAAAGAAGTAGAGCATTAGCCTTGAGCACAAAAAGCTCAGGGACAGTGCCCAGGCCCTGAGGTCAAGCCCCACAGCCAACAAAAAACCAAAAAACAAAAACAACATCAAATATGTGACCAAAGTGGTTTCATTGCAAGGGTGCAAGGTTGATTCAACATACATAAATCAATAATGTAATACTGTAATACCAAGAACAAAAATTGCATAGTTATCTCAATTGATAAGAGTTTGATGAAAGTCAATACTCCCACCGGGCACCAGTGACTCACACTTGTCATCCTAGCTACTCAAGAGGCTGAGATCTGAGGATTGCAGTTCAAAGCTAGCCTGGGCAGGAAAATATGTGAGACTCTTTCCTCCAATTAACTATCAGGAAATTGGAAGTGGTTCAAAAGTGGTAGAGTGCTAGTCTTGAGCAAAAGAGCTTAGAAACAGTGCACAGGCCCTGATAAGCCCCAGACCAACAACAACAATACACAGAACAGTCAGTATTCCTAGATATCCAGGAGGCTGAGATCTGAGGATTGAGGTTCAAAGCCAGTCTGGGCAGGAAATCTCAAATGGCTCCAGTTAACTACCAAAAAAAAGCCGGAAATGCCTATGTGCTGGTGGCTCATTCCTATAATTCTAGCTACTCAGAAGGCTGAGATCTGAGCATTGCAGTTCAAAGCCAGCCTGGGCAGAAAAGTCCCCAAGACACTTTTATCTACAATTAACCATTCAAAAACGACGTGGAGCTGTGGCTCAAAGTGGTAGAGCAGTAGCCTTGAGCAGAAAGGCTTAGGGATAGCGCCCCAGGCCCTGAGTTCAAATCCCATGACTACCACCACCACCAACAACAACAAAAAAGCTGGAAGGCTCAAGTAATAGTATGCTATCCTTGAGCATAAAACCTCAGGGATAGTGCCCAGGCCCTGAGTTTAAGCCCCAGCACTGGCACAAAAAAAAAAAAAAAAGTCAATACTCCTTCCTAATAAAATCTCTGAAGAAAGTAGGAGTGAAGTAGGAAGAGAAGGAAAAGCAACGGCCATTCACTGCTGGCTCAGACCTGTAATCCAGAGATCTGAGAATCAGAGTTCAAAGCCAGCTAGGACAAACTGTGTGACACTTATCTCCAATTAACCACCAGAAAACCAGAAGTGGAGCTGAGGCTCAAAGTAGTAGAGCGAGAGCCTTAAGCAAAAGACCTCAAAAAAAAAAAAAAAAAAAAAAAAGGAATGTACCTCAAGGTATGATAAACCTATTAACAACATTGTACTAAATGGGGAAAACGTTCTTCTGCAGTTAGGATGGAGATAAGGGTCTCAATTCCCTATACTCCTTTTCGATATTGGTTCCCAAGGTACGTTGTCAGCTGTAGCAGAGATAGTCTTAGCCTTTGTACTGTACAGATGTCACTTTCACAGTTGTTTGCTCCTTAGGATAAAAATGATTTTTTCCCTTTCTGGGCTTCAGCTTCCCCACTGCCACTTCCATTTCCATGCCCCAGTCATTGTCAAACAAGCCCTGCTTCTGCTTCTTGGGTGCTGGAGGGGTGTTCCAATCAGTTAATAATATTCCTGTCCTTACAGAAGGCCTTCTTCAGCCCTCATTCTCTAATGCTGCACCTGTTAAACTGTTGCTTTTGCTATCAGTTCTGATCAGTCACTGTCAACTCTGCAGCCAGTTCTCTTCATGTTACCAACTCTACTAATGACACAAATCAAAAGTAGGCAAAGATGATCACTCTAGAGAATTTTTATTGGATCTGCTATTGCCACACCAAGAGCAACATAGGAAGATGTCTCCCAGCTGGACAACAAATGAATGAGCAGACTACTTATATAGTTAGAAAGAGGTGTGATAAGGATATCTCCACCAATCGCATCAGACCCCACATGCAAATAAACAATTGTGTTTGCATCAATCATGATACCGTCCTTGTCGCCAATCACAACATTTTGCACCAGTCACATATCTTCACGAGAAAAGGTCACCAGAAAATACACCAGAATAGACACTGGTTGAAATGACTTCAGGGTCCTTTAGAGTTATAGAGGCTTGTGGTGGTAAAAATCCCAGTTAAGTTCAAGGTGTTTGCTGGGACAGTACTTTCAGGAGCAAGAGCCTTGCTTTGGTTTCAAAATAGCTGGAGCTGGCATGAGGGCAATTGGCTGTCTAGCTGCTAGTTCTATATTCAAAGCAGCTGGCCTGAAGAAGAGACTCAGAGCTGTCAATTAAGGAGTTAGTTCTCTCCAAACCCCAACATCTTAGCATATTTCAGGGAAAATAAATTGCCAAAGGGGTGCTTGCAACAAGATCTTATCTGTTAAATTCTTTCACAGCATTTGATCATGTTCTAACAAAGCTTATCTCTTGTTCCAGTGTCCCAGGGAGAAGAGAACCCCTACTATCTGTTTTATCCCCAATTCTTTTTTTTTTTTGTCGGTCGTGGGGCTTGAACTCTGGACCTGGGCGCTGTCCCTCAGCTCTTCAGCTCAAGGCTAGCGCTCTACCACTTGAGCTACAGCGCCACTTCCGGTTTTCTGGTGGTTTATTGGAGATACGAGTCTCACGGTCTTTCCTGCCCGGGCTGGCTTTGAACTGCGATCCTCAGATCTCAGCCTCCTGAGTAGCTAGGATCACAGGCGTGAGCCACCAGCGCCCGGCATTATCCCCAATTCTTAGGCCATTAAAAAAAATGTTTGAAATGTACTCATTACCTTGCTCATGTAACTGTAACTCCTCAGTACAGTATTCTTACAATAAAAAAGTACAAAAAAAAGAAAAAGGATATATTTTCACAATAAAAAAAAAGTTTGACAATATTTCCACCAGAAACTCTTGTGCTTGCCATGTGTTTCACTCTGGAGTGATTCACACACTTGGGCTTGGCGAAGTTGACCATTTCCTCAGCAAGACGATTGCAATACAATGTGCTAAGAAGGAACTGGAGTTGATGTCAAAGTCCCCGAAGCCATGGGGCGCTACTACCCTCCAACACCTCAGGGGCCCATCTTCTTATATAACCCCTACAGAGGGGCCTTCCCTGGTCCCGCCATTGCAAACCACAGCAGGCACACAGACAGCCGAGGATCCTAGAAGCCCTAGAACCTCGGGAAGTTATGGGCACCGTCCCCTTTCTGGCCCACCCCACCCTAGAACCCACGTGGCTAAAGAGACTGGCACAACGTTCCGCGCGACCATTGTGCCGAGAATCCATTCGTCCTGGGGCCCTTGCTTGAGGAAGAGGGCACCTAGTGGGTGCAGGACGTCTTCGGTGGTCCTGACCTGGCTGAGGAGAGCCTATGAGAGCTGCCGAGCAAGCGAGAAGACCACTGTGTAGCCGGGACGCTGACCCTCACAGGAGGGTCTGAAAGGGGCACAGGAGGCACTTACTTCTTTGAGGACTCTGTGCTCCACACCCAGGAGCATGCACCCCACTGTGCACCCCCAGACCTATGGGGCCCCGAACCTCTGGAGGATCAACTGAGAGGTCTTGTTTGGCAGCTGAGGAGGTTAAATAGTCCAAGGTTGCATCAACCAAATCTAGGGCATTGAGCCACCTCAGGACCAACTGGGCAGAAGTCAAGTGGCGCTGAGTGCAGAATGGAGAGCTGGGGGAGAAGTTGCCACCCGGGGGCCGCTGACTCCAGAGGGCCTTTGCAGGCGAAGAACCGCAATGAGCCCCAGCGCTGTCCTAAAGGTCCGGATGCCTGCAAGTAGGTATCACAGTGAAGTGCGCTGGAAACGCAGCAGAGAGGATGAAGAGGAGGAGAAAATCATCCCTAGTCCCCACGGTCCAGTCTGTTTGTGTGGCTTATTGTAGCTATGAAATCTTAAGGTCTGCGTTTCAAACCCAGGCTCTGCCACTTGCTAATGCTGTTAAGTCATGGGCCTCACTTCAGTTCTTGGAACCTGCGCGCTCCCTCCCTCCCTCCCTCCCTCCCTCCCTCCCTCCCTCCCTCTCTCTCTCTCTCTCCTTCCTCTCTCCCTTCCCCACCTTGGGGGGGGGGGGTCACACACATACCAGTACTAGGATTTGAACTCAGGGCCTCACAATCTTGTTGGCTTTTTTTTTGCTCAAGGCTAGCACTCTACCACTTGAGCTATACCTCCACTTCTAGCTTCTTACTGGTTGATTAGAAATCTCTTACGGAACTTTCCTGCCCTAGGTGGCTTCAAACCATGATCCTCAGATCTCAGCCTCCTAAGTAGTTTAGGATTACAGATCTGAGCCACTGGCACCCAGCTTATCTTTCTCATGTTTTCAAATTGAGTTGCTATCTGATTGGGTTGTGGTGAATGAATTCATATTCTAAATTTAAAGCTACACTGTTCATCTTCATACCTTGCTGTGTTCCCCATGACTTGCATAGGACATGGAGCATAATGGTTTCTCAAAAAAAAAAAAAAAATATATATATATAGTAGAAATAGGGATAACTTGGCTGGGAAGGTGGCTCCAGTGGTAGAGTGCTTGCCTTGCATGCATGAGGCCCTGGGTTCAATTCCTCAGCACCACATAAGCAGAAAAAGCTGGGAGTGGTGCTGTGGCTCAAGTGGTAGAGCGCTAGCCTTGAGCTGAAGAGCTGAGGGACAGCGCCCAGGCCCAGAGTTCAGGCCCACGACTGACAAAAAAAGAAAGAAAGAAAGAAAGAAAGAAAGAGGGATAACTGTCTGAGTTAGACTTTTTGGTGATTCTTTCCTAAATTGTCGCCCTTTTGTTCTTCTTTTAGGTTTGCTCAGAAGTCCAGCAGTTCCCCTTCAGAGTCACCTTATCTTACTGTTCTTAATGAATATTTCAATACCACGACACTAACTATGTTAGAGAACAGGGTCAAAACAAGGACAGTGACAGCCCTGAAGGTGCTGAACATTTATATCCAGGAAGCTAGGATCCGGCGCAAGAAGCTGGTACAGGAGAGCAGGCTATTACAGGAGGAACCATTTCAGGAGGAAAGAGAAAGCAAATGCCTTCTGACATATCTGAACAAAACAAATGGCCATTTTAGAAGGAAACATGAGGAACTGTGGGAGGATTATGTCCAACAACTGGAGGCGATAGGACAAAGGAGACAAGAATTAGCATCCAGGTTTGCCACACAAACTGCAGACCTTCAAGCACAGCTCTTCCAAAGGAAAAAAATCCTGTATGATTTAAAGCAGCAGTTGCTGGCAATGAGGGACATCTCCCAATTAAAGAAGACACAGGAAATGACACTACTGGAATTACAGAAAAAGATAAAGAAAGTTGAATCAGAGACAACTATCAAGGACCAAGAAGCACATTTCCAGTTCCTGAAGCAAAAAACATTGCTGGAGAAACAACTAAGTGACCTGGACAAGTTGCAGAAGGGAGAGACCAAAACAAGGGAGCTTAAGAGGAAGGCCAAGGCTTGGGAGTTGATAGTTCAGCAGGGTCATCGTGATGTCAGTCTTGGCTTCAGAAAAGAAAACCAGCAGCAGTTGGAGAGATTATATCAGCTATGTCAGGAATTTAAGCAGTTAGAGGATACCAGAAGACAGTTAAACAGGCAGAGGCAGCATCGGAAGGAGGAAAGATGGTATCAAGAAGGTTTAACTAGAGGTTGGCAGCGACTGCAGGCACGGCATAAGTATTATTTTAATCACAGTGGATGCCCCAAAGAACAGGTGCACCAAAATCTGTCCTAAGTCATCCCCTTGATGACAAATACATATTATATTCAAAGAAATCCTTACAATGATAGAGAAATGGACAACTTAAACAAATATGCTTAAATACTTCATATACCCATTAGGAACTTTTCTTTTTTGGATTGCAGTTTGCTAACCAGAAAATAGCATATTGAAGTTTTCCATCATGAGAAATTTCTGAAACACAGAAAGTTGGTTATATTTTCTCATAAGGAAGCATTGAAACAATGGGAAAAAGAAATCATGGGATCATATTCCTACATTTAGGGTTCACATTCCAGTAAATCACTGCTCAAGCCGTGGGCTGTCATAAATGCCAAATGACAAGTACTGTATAATGAGTACATTAATTTCTGAAGGAACTCAAGAAGAGTGATGATGTTACCAAAAATGAGTGCCTTCAACATTATACTAGGCCTGAATAATAAAGCAGATGGTACAAACAACTGGGAAAGGAACTGTTCCAAGAGAGAGGCAATACTGATTCTCCAAGTCCCTAAAATGGAACTGAACTTGTTGAGCACTGGTAGCTCATGCCTGTAATTCCTAGCTACTTAGGATGCTGAGATCTGAGTATCAAAGTTCAAAAGCAGGCCCAGCAGGCAAATATGTGAGACTCTTATCGTCACTTAACCAAAAAAGTGGAAATGGAGCTGTTTGTCTAGTAGTAGAATGCTAGCCTTGAGCACAAAAGCTCAGTGACAATGACCAGGCCCTGAGTTCAAGCCCCAGGACTGGCATTAAAAAAAAGGAGTTAAGCTTGGTATGCTCAAAGAACATAAAAACACATGTGGGCTAAGTACAACCTAGGAATTATCACAGGATATTCTTAGAGGGGTAATAGGTAAAGCCAGTAATAAAGTAAGAGTTGCCATAGAGATAAAAATTATGTTGTTGGCCCCAACATCTGAATGCATAGTTGTGCCACTGGCTTCAGTGGGGAAGAAATTACTAGATGATGAGGTAAAATCAAAGGTATAGGTAAACAAGGAGTAAATTTCTAAAATGTTATTTTTAAGAAGGGTTAGGAATCTGTTCAGTGGTAAAGTGCTTGCCTCTCATGAACAAGGACCTGGGTTCCACACTTAAAATGGAAAAAAAAAAGATGAAGTGTGGTGGGGGAGGGTGAAGGCAATAAGGATATCTTATTGTTTTGGTGTAATTACAACAGGAATGCAAAAAGAATAGTCCCCTGGACCCCAAAACATTAACTAAATTCAGAATAATGTGTTTATTATTCCTGTGACTGAATAGCATTTTTATGTATATATGTATACACACATATATATACATATTTTATAAACACTATAAAGCATGATTTGTACACCTTATATAAGTGGTATATTTGGTATACTCTGTAACTTGCTTTCTCAAGTAATATCTTTGAGATTTATTCATAATGATATTGCAAAGCCCTCATTAAGTTTAAAGCTGGTACAGTATTCCATTCTTTCTGGATGGATAGGATTATATATTAGAATAGGCTTTTAAAAAACCATGGATGTATAATATCTCAAAAATAGACATTTTTCAGCCAGGTACTGGTGGCTCATGCCTATAATCCTAGTTATTCAGGAGGCTGAGATCTGAGAATCACGGTTTAGGACTAGTCTGAGAGGACAAATCTGAGACTCTTTATCTCCAATTAAACAGCAAAAATCCAGAAGAGGAGGTGTTGCTCAAGTGTAGAGTGCCAGTATGAGTGAAAATGTCAAATGAGAGCATGAGCCCAGAGTTCAAGCCAAAGTACTGGCAACAACAACCAAAAGAAAGGAAGAAAGAAATAAAGGAAGGAAGGAAGAGAAAGTGAAAAAGAGAAAGAAAAGAAAGGAAGGAAAGAAAGGATGGAAGGAAGGAAGGAAGAAAAGAAAAAAGAAAGGAAGGAAGGAAGAAAGGAAGAAAGGAAGGAAGGAAGGAAGAAAGAAAGAAAGAAAAAAAGAAAGGCACCACCAGCTCACACCTGTAATCCTAGCTACTCAGGAGGATGATATCTGAGATTATGGTTCAAAACCAGCTCAGGCAAGAAAGTCCATGAAACTTTTTTTTTTGGGGGGGGGTCCAGTTGTGGGGCCTGAACTCTGGGCCTGGGCGCTGTCCCTCAGCTCTTCAGCTCAAAGCTAGCGCTCTACCACTTGAGCCACAGCACCACTTCCAGCTTTTTTTCTTTTTGCTTATGTGGTGCTGAGGAATCGAACCCAGGGCCTCAGGCATGCAAGGCAAGCGCTCTACCACTGAACCAACTTCCCAGCCCTCCATGAAACTTTTATCTCCAATAAACTACAAAAAAAAAAAAAAATCCAAGCTGGAAGTGGAGCCACATGTGATTCAAGTGGTAGAGCACTAGCCTTGAACAAAAAAGTACATCAATATCATCCAGGCCCCACATTCAAGCTCCAGGACCAGGGTACACAAAAAGACAATTCCTCAGTCCCAGGTCCCAGGTCAGTAAGTATCTGACGTTTGTGGGATAATTCAGGGAGCCAACTATCTTCCATTTTGTTCTTTCCCATCCTGTAGGCCCCTATCACCATCTGCATCTAGCTGATAGAAGGGTAAAGAAAGCATAGGCTACACTCAATGTCTTAAAATGCTAGCGTGGAAGTGGCACATCATTTCTATTTGCATTCTATGAGAGACAAGTTACCTGGACACCTTTTCACAACATAGAGGAAGCAAAAAGTAGGAAACAGAGTCTAGCTATTTGTCCTACAAGTCTAGAATTTAGGAAGATGATAGAATATTTTGATGGACAGGTACTACTGATAACATACAGTGTTTCTCTACTGCAAACTATATTGCAGTAGTCAATCTTTTCTTTTTTTGATCGTGTAGCTTGAACTCAGGGCTTGGGCACTGTCCCTGAGTTCTTCAGCTTAAGGCGAGCACTCTACCACTTTGAACCACAGCACCACATCCAGTTTTCTGGTGGTTAATTGGAGATAAGAGTCTCACACTCTTTCCTACTTGGGCTGGCTTTGAACTGTGATCCTCAGATCTCAGCCTCCTGAGTAGCTAGGATTATAGGCATAAGCCACTTGTGCCTGGCTGCAACAGTCATTCTTTTTTTTTTTTTTTGGGTCCGGGTCGTGGGGCCTGAACTCTGGGCCTGGGTGCTGTCCCTCAGCTCTTCAGTTCAAGGCTAGCACTCTACCACTTGAGCCACAGCCCCACTTCCAGCTTTTTTCTTTTTGCTTATGTGGTGCTGAGGAACGAACCCAGGGCCTCATGCATGCAAGGCAAGCACTCTACCGCTGAGCCACCTTCCCAGCCCCCCAGTCATTCTTATATATCTCTCTCAGCACCTACTTTATGGATGGGGCTGCTCAGTCTCCTTTGTGGGGCTTGAACTCTAGGCCTGGGCACTGTCCCTAAGCTCTTCACCTCAAGGCAAGTACTCTACCACTTGAACTACCATGCCACTTCTGGTTTTCTGGTGGTTAATTAGAGATGAGAGTCTCACAGACTTTCCTGCCCAGGCTGACTTTGAACCATGATCCTCAGATCTCAGCCTCCTCAGTAGCTAGGATTACAGGCGTGAGCCACCAGTGCCCAGTTGTCTTTAGGTATATTTTTATGTTTATTATATATTGCCAAATCATTTTCAAAACAGTATCAATTTACACTAAAACCAATACATGAAGATTCAATTATTTAACAACCCTGCAGGCACTAATATGGTCAAACTTAGTTTATGTTATTCTAGTGAGTTATATAAAGGCTTAAAACCTGAAAAGTGTGATTAGCACAGTCTATATTGAATCCTGCTGATCTCTGGCCTTAGGAAAATGAAGAATGTTGTACAAGGGACAGGACAGAGTTCCTATAGCATTTCCTCAAATCTTCAAATTATTCATACTACCTAGCAGGTTTCAAGACTAAAGAACCACTGGGTTGTAGTGCTTCTTTAGAACATGCCTATAATCCTAGCTGAGGCAGGAGGATCATGAAGTCAAATCCAGCCTGGGTTACATAGCAGGACCCTGTCTCATTAAATAAATAAATAAATAAATTGAAAACTATTAAGACAACTGTATTTGGGACTTATTTCAAATTCACAACTATCTTCAACCATTTTTAACCCTCTACAGTGTCAGAAAAGAATTAAGTAAGAGGTCACAGCCTAAAAATAACTGGATATATCATTCTAATCTAGGGTCATTTTATTGTTACTAATCCTTCTCCATTATTCCTCACCAGAAATTAACATAGCATCTTAACTTTTTCTCCCTGACATTGCTCATCCCCTGAAAGGGCTTTATCCCTAAGGGTTTGCACCTCCTGGGATGTGTGGGACGCAAAGTTCATTTGGTACGAATGTTGTTTCAGTGTGTGAATGTGCTACTCACACGCCAGTACAAATAGGACACGGGGATGTGGCGGAAAGAGGATAGCGAAGAAAGCGGAAAGTTCATTATACACCCGGCTGCCTACAGTGCTCGGCTAACAATGCTTTTTAGGGGCCGCTCTCGCGAGAGTTCCTTGGTGGCGATTTCTGATTTAGGGCCAATCACAGCCCCGAACGCGGGGACGTCTCTCTAGGCGCGCGGCGGGCACCTCTGTGGTTCTGTGGGCCGGGCTGGTGGGAAGATGGCGGCGCCCGCGACTCCGGCGGAGCCGCAGGCTTCCGGGGGTCTTCCGACCCCTATTTGTCTGTTGGTGTTGGGAATGGCGGGATCTGGGAAAACCACCTTTGTACAGGTGAGGCGAAGGCGTGATGGGGACGCGTGACAGGTTGCCCGCGCCGGGCGGAGGGCCCGGGGTCATGGAGGGAGGCGTGTGCAGAGTTGGGGTCCAGGCTCGGGGCTTTCTGGTCTTGCCATCAGCTCGGGTTCCTTCCTCGGGAAACCCGAGACCCCGCCCCGGCCGGGAAGGCTGCCCTCCGCACTCCCTCGGCGCCTGCCTGCGAGATCTACTTCACCGCGTCTTGCTGATGAAGTTGCCAGCTTCCCCTCACCCGGGCTGCGGAGTGGAACACAGCTTTTCGCTGAAGATCGAGGGACCAAGGAAGTATCTCTTGCGCCCCAACCGTGTTCTAAGCACCCGAAAAACAGGAAAACGAAACTGACAAGATTGTGGTTTTCACGGAGTTGATGTGTAACAGTCGAGTACTACGAAAACACAATGCAAATGTCAAAGATGGGGAGACTGTTAGAGGGGTGATGAGCCAAGGTAGCATGTGAGCTGAGAGGCTAGTGTTGGGCCTAGGCGTAGAAGGATGTGGTGCTGAACCTTCAGGCATGGTCAGTAAAGGATTAGAAGTACTCTCTTGCCAACTCTCCAACTCTCTCCCCATATTTCTACAGAGGCTTACAGGACACTTGCATAGCCAAGGCTCTACACCTTATGTCATCAACCTGGACCCAGCTGTGCATGAAGTCCCCTTTCCTGCTAATATTGGTGAGTTAACTATCCCAGAACTTGTAATGTGCCTAATAGAGAATAGAAAGCCTCCCGATTACCAGTCTTTGGTGCCTTCAGAGTGTGTGTGTGTGTGTGTGTGTGTGTTTTCTAACCTACTTTTACTTCCTTTGGATTTCTGTGAGCCCCTGAACAGGCTTTTTCTTATTCATATTTTCTCTCTCTTTCCTCCTTTTATTTATTTACTTATGATGTATGTATGTATTTTTTTGTGCAGTGCTGAGGATCATACACAAGACCTAGACCAAGCTAGCACTGAGTACTCTAACATGAGCTATATTCCTCGTTTCCTAAATTCACTGTATCTTTCCCATTTGCATTTATATCTCTCCTCTTTCTGACACTAATGTGTGAGAGAATATAATTGGGAAACTTGGAATAGTTGGAAAGTCAGTATACAATCACCCAGGCCATAAGCCCTTCAGCCACCTCTGAAGGGTTTTAGACTTTTTCATTTAGTTTTTTTCATAGAGTTTAAAGAGGTCTGGGAATGTGGCTTAGTGGTAGAGTGCTTGCCTAGCATGAATGAAGCCCTGGGGTTGAATCCTCAGAACTGCATAAACAAAGCAGGAAGTGGCCCTGTGACGTAAGTGGTAGAGTGCTAGCCTTGAGCACAAAAGCTCTAGGACAGTGCTCAGGCTCTGAGTTCAAGCCCCAGGACCAGCAAAAATAAAAATAAAAAAAAAATTAAAGACTTTTCTGCTATAGTTCACCCATTGATCTGTAAGAAGTTTACTTCCACTTGTCAGGTTCCATGGGCAAATGTTTATAATATGGACCCATGCATTGTTTGGAGGAGAGGTTCTCAATTTTCACAAGACTTAGAGGAGATTGACTGTCAAAAAGAATGGGGGTGTGTTGCTTTGTTAGGATTCCTGCTAGGGTTCAGGCTTTCTGATTCCCAGGCTCTCACTGTGTGTTAGTCCTTTCCCTTTTTTCCTTTTTTTTTTTTTGTTGTGGGGCTTGAGCTCTGGGTCTGGGCGTTGTCCCTCAGCTCTTCAGCTCAAGGCTAGCGCTCTACCACTTGAGCCACAGTGCCACTTCTGGTTTCTGGTGGTTTATTTGGAGAGAAGTCTCACGGAGCAGGCTTTGAACTGTGATCCTCAGATTTCAGCCTCCTGAGTATCGAGGATTACAGGTGAGAGCCACCAGCACCAGACTTGACTTGTTAATTTTATTCAGCTTTTACCCAAACATACTGATAAAAGGAAGAGGGCTTTGTTTGAGGAGTTAGTCAGAGATCCTTTTAGGAAGAATTTGGGGAAAAAAATTTCCTTTAAGAAAAAAAATTAGCCGGCGCCAGTGGCTCAGGCCTGTAGTCCTAGCTACTCAGGAGACTGAGATCTGAGGATCGTGGTTCAAAGCCAGGCCAGGCAGGAAAGTATGTTATCGCCAATAAACCACTAGAAAACTGGAAGTAGCGCTGTGGCTCAAGAGGTAGAGTGCTTGCCTTGAGCTGAAGAGCTGAGGGACAGCGCACAGGCCCAGAGTTCAAGCCCCATGACCAACAAAAAAAAAAAAGAAAAAAAATTAGTCTTTTTCTTCATGTTTTACTTCTTTTCCAATTGAATTTCAATGGTCTTAGCCTTAAAAATTTAGAAAATATAGGTTGGGCATGAATGGCTCACCTCTGTAATCCTAGATATTCAGGAGGCTGAGATCTGATGATCATTGTTCCATACCAACCTAGGCTGTCTTTTTTCTTTTTTTTTGGTTGGCCATGGGGCTTGAACTTTGGGCCTGGGCATTGTCCCTCAGCTCTTCAGCTCAAAGGTAGCACCCTACCACTTGAGCCACAGAGCCACTTTTGGGTTTTTCTGTTTATGTGGTGCTGAGGAATCGAACCCAGGGCCTCATGCATGCAAGGCAAGTACTCTACCATTGAGTCACCTTCCCAGCCCCATAGCCCAGGCTGTCTTATCTCAAAATAACTAGGAAAAAGCTGTAAGTAGGAGCATAGCTCACCAGAGGTGAGCAGAAAGCCCAGTGAGATCTTGAGGTTCTGAGTTCAAACCCCCATACCAGCACAAAAATAACTCTTCCCTCCACCCCCAAATGAAGAATATGATTCATATTCCAAGAGAGAAACATTATTTTTTTTATCTTGGAGAAGGATAAATGACAGAGACCTATTGGTATAACTTAAAGGTAGAAATTCTCATAATATTGTCTTATATGTAAATTCCAGTATTTTTTTCTCTCTCTTAGATATTCGTGACACTGTGAAGTATAAAGAAGTCATGAAACAGTATCCTTTTTCCCATCTTTGGTATTGACTCCTAGAAAGGAGTATACACAGCTTCTGTGTATATTTTGTGATTTTGAGAGACTGATTTTTACTAATTCTTGTCCAGTATCCAAATAAAAGAATTATTTGCTTTAAAATGGTTTTATTGAGAATAGAAGAATGCAGGCTGGGTATTATAGATTATCAGTAATACCATTTTTGCCTCTAGACTATAGGGAGTTGTAATTTGAGAGTGGAGAAAATGAGAGGCTGGTAGCTCGCTAGGTCTGGCAAGGTGGTATTTGCTTGGAGGAGACATTTTTTGTTGACTGTATCTTCAGACTGGGAAACTCAAGAGAGTATGTTCAGTACATTGCTATAGGACATATGTAGACTCCTTGTAGTGTATATGTAGAAAGGAAGATTAATTCTAGTCAACTAGTTGCTTGATTAAGACAGATCAGAGCTAAGTGTTATATAGATCTTCATAGTCAGTGCTAGCATTCTGTCAGTGCCTGATATATCTGCCTATTAAATTTGGGTCACTTTTCTTTCCTTTTTTAATCTAATGTGTGCAATTTAAATCCTGAATTGAGTATCCAGATATGGACTTGGGCCAAATGGTGGCATCGTGACCTCACTCAATCTCTTTGCTACCAGATTTGATCAGGTATGGCTCTTTTTATATTCATAGACATGATTGTAGAAACCTGGCTCTTAACATGCCTTAGCTTGATCACAATGGTAAAGAAGAACGGCCTACCTGAAGAGCAATATAGAAAATAAGTGGACATTTTGGTACACAAAGAAGTAGGCTGTGAGAGGATAATCAATATGAGATGCTTCACACTTAATGTTTGTGATAGCCAGTAAAACAAAAAAGAGACCTGGGTTCTTTCTCTGATTTATTACTGACTTACACGGAGGATGGTAAGGTGGGAACAAGAGTCAGGGATGCACTACCAGGCAAGAAATTGTAAGAATTGATGCTTTTACTTTGTAACAAATGGCTCTCATTTCTTAGGTTGTCAGGTTACCTGTTTCCCTGTTTTGGAAACATTGTTCTTTTATACTTCATGAGATAGGCTGTTAACATGAGATCAGAGCTGCTCAAAGTAGCGTACCAGCACTTCTAGATGCTCAGAAGGCTGAAGCTGTAGAATTGATTGAAGCAAGTAGTTCAGGAACAACCGGACTGGCTCTTTAAGAAAATTGACAAACAAAAGATACTGGCTAAAAGTGCTAAGAGATATGATTTCTTTGTGATAGGTCAAGGTTTGGTTTTGTATTATGCCCCAGGATGTTGTAGTGCTGCTATGGAGCAGCTCTCCTTGGATGAGTTCATTACTTGGTGTCCTAAGATTAAGAACATCAATTCTGTTCATAATGGCAATTGTGAGACATGTCCCCTGGGGGGCCCTGTGGTTTTGTGTCCAAAGCAGATACTATGGTAATTGGCATCTTTTCTTTTAGGTGATGAAATTTATTGAGAAAGCCCAGAACACATCTAAGTAAGTGTTTTGTTACTCCTTAGTCAATACATCTGTTGACTTTTGAAAGGATTTGGGTGGTATTGTTGGGTAGGATCTGAAAGGGAGTTAATTTAAATGAAGGTATTAGAAGTAAAAAGGGGAGAATAACATCACTGAGATGGTATGTGTATAAAGCTAAATTTACCATTATCCCACTCCCAGTTCCATGAACATTGCTGCTGCCTGGGCTGGCTTTGAATCACAGTCCTCAGATCCCAGCCTCCTGAGTAGCTATGATTACAGGCGTGAGCACTGGTGCCTGGCTTTAAATATTTTTTTAACCATTGTTGTAAGGAGCATAATGTGCAAGATTCAGAAAAAAAATTTTCTGATGTAAGAAGTAACAAAACATAAAATACCATTTTTAGTACCTAGATTTAACAATTGTTAAATTTTTGATAAGTATCCTTTTTCTAAGAGAGAAAAATAATTTTCTGCTTTTTTAAAAGGCTCTATATTCAATATAAAGCAATCAAATGATGCATTATTTTAATTATTCCATAACTGGCATTCCACGTTTCTGTGCATATATCCATAGCTAGATGGAAGACTAGAAGAATTGTTACAAACATGAGATTATATTAGGTTTTTATTTGTTTCTAAAGAGCTTTATTGAGATATGATTCACATACTATAAAACTCATTCTTTAAAGTCTATAACTTAATACTTTGATATATTTATATAGTTGTTGGGCATCTATCACAGTCATCCAATTTCAGACCATTTTCTTCATGTACCACCCAAAGCCTCTATACTCATTAGCAGTTATTTCTTTTCCCTTCCTCCAGTTCTTCCAAGATCTGTGTCCCATTTTGGGTTCTCACCAGCAATATGATTTCTTCACCACCAGTTACTGTACAGTTTTGACAAACTTTTCTTCTCTTTTCCTCATAGACATCCTATTGGGTATGAAGCCAATGTGGTTTTGGTTTGTATGTCCTTCATCACTGATGAGATAGCTTTTTGTTTTTGTTTTTGTTGGTCATAGGGCTTGAACTGAGGACCTGGATGTTGTCCCTGACCTTTTTTTTTTGCTTAAGACTAGCACTCTACCACTTAGAGCCACACCACTTCCAAGATAGAATTTTTTTTTTTTAATGTACTTATTAGACATTGGTGTATATTTGGAGAAATGTCTATTAAAAGTTTCACCCATTTCTATTAATTGTTGTTTGCCCATTCATTTATTTTTGTAGTGCTGGGGATTGAACACAGGGCATCACATGCTATGAGCCCATGCACAGTCCCCACCCCCCAACCCCCCCATTTTCCCCCCCACCCCCATTGGTCGTGGGGTTTGAAATCTGGACCTGGATGCTATGCTTCAACCAACTGAGCCACAGCACCACTTCTGGTTTTCTGGTGGAGATTAGAGTCTCATGGGCTTTCCTGCCCAGGCTGGCTTTGAACCTTGATCCTCAGATCTCAGCCTCCTGAGTCGCTAGGATTACAGGCCTGAGCCACCAGCACCCAGCTCATGCAAAGTACTTATTCTACCATTGACCTACATCTCTTTAAGTTTACTTGTTTAAAAAATTATCTTTATTGAGATCCTGTTCACCAATTTCAAGAGTACACTTCAGTGGCTTTTTTGTGTGCCAATAAAGGGTTTGAATTTAGGACCTTGAACTTTCTTGAAGCTCAGTTTTATTGTGTGTAGCTAAGCCATGCCTCCAGTTCTAGTGTTTTCTACTGGTTAAGTGGATAAACATTCCCCTCTTCCCCTCATCCTGGGGCTTGAATTCTGAGCCTGAGCTCTGCCCCTCAGCTTATTTTGTTCAAGGCTAGTGCTCTACCACTTGAGCCACAGCCCCACTTCTGGCTTTTTCTGAATACATTATTGGAGATGAGTCTCATGGACTTTCTTGCCAGGCTGGCTTCCAACCACAATCCTCAGATCTCAGCCTCCTGAGTAGATAAGACCATAGGCATGAGCCACTGGTGCCAGCAGTAGATAAGTATCTTGAAGATTTGTCTGCCTAGGCTGGCTTTGAACTTCATTCTCAGTATTCAGCCTCTGAGTAGGTAAGCTTATAGATGTGAGCTAGTAGCAGTGCCTGACTCCTACTAAGATTTGAATGTAGGTCTTATGCTTGCTTAGCTGACTTGCTTGCTCATCTTGCACTCTGCCTCTTGAATCATACCTGTAGCCTGGTTTTGTTGATTAATTGAAGAGAAAGTTTCTTGGACTTTTCTACCCAGACTGGCTTTGAACTGTGATCCTCTGGATCTCAGCCCCTGAGTAGCTAGGAATGTAAGTGTGAGTCTCTGGCACCCAGCTTCAGTGGCTTTTAATACATTCACAAAATGGACTACTGTCACCTTAGTCAATCCCTCTCCCCCCACCCCCCTTTCTTTTGGTAGTTCTGGGGTTTGAACTCAGGCCATTTTATTTGCTAGGTAGACATTCTACTATTGAGCCTTGCCCTTTAGCCCTTCTTGCTTTAGTTTATTTCAGGTAGGAACTTGTGCTTTGCCTAGGGCAGGCCTCAGATTACGGTCCTCCTACCTCCACCTCTGTCATGGCTGGAATTACAGGCATGTGTCACCATGCCTGGTTTCCACTGTAGTCAATTTTAGAACATTCTCATCACTTCAGAAAGGTACTGGGTGTTCTATAAGTCACACTCCTCTATCCTTCTCTCTTTCCTTCTCCCTTCCATTTCTTTTTTTTTTTTGGGTCCAGTCCTGGGGCCTGAACTCTAGGCCTGGGCGCTGTCCCTTAGCTCTTCAGCTTAAGGCTAGCTCTCTACCACTTGAGCCACAGCGCCACTTCCGGCTTTCTTCTTTTTGCTTATGTGATGCTGAGGAATCGAACCCAGGGCCTCGAGCATGCAAGGCAAGCGCTCTACCACTGAGCCACCTTCCCAGCCCTCCCTTCCATTTCTTTGTCCCTGAGAAACCTGATGGTTTCTGAAGAATCTATTTCTCATTTTCAAAACAATGCCTTTCAGTAATGATTGTAATTTCCCCTGTGATCATTTGCGGCCAGCCTCCACTTTCTGTTCCTGCCTATTAGCATGAATACTGGATATGAAGCATTTGAAAGAATGTTAGAAAATTTAAGAACTATAGCAGGAAATTAGACTTGACAGTGTACAGAGTCTTGGGTTAGCAATTATTTAGGATTTTGTTTTTCTTTTTTATGCCAGTCCTGGAGCATGAACTCAGAGCCTGGGTGCTGTCCCTGAGCTTTTTTTTGCTCAGGGCTAGTACTCTACCATTTAAACCATAGATTCACATCTGGCTTTCTGGTGGTTAACTGGAAAGTAGAGTATCACAAACATTCCTGCCCAGGCTGGCTTTGAATCGTGATCTTCAGATCTCAGTCTCTTGAGTAGCTGTGATTACAGCCATGAGCCACCAGTGCCTGGAAATATTTAGTTATATGGATGAAATGTCTTTCAGTGTTGTGTAAGTGGAACACTTCTTTCATGGTCTTCCTTGACTCAGGTATGTCTTGATTGATACACCTGGACAGATTGAGGTCTTCACCTGGTCAGCCTCTGGGACAATCATCACTGAAGCCCTGGTGAGTGTTCTAGGTCTTGTCCCTTAAAGTAGCTAGAGGATGATACTGGGTGAGCATCTGGTTAATTGTGTGTGTTTCTACATGAGAAGGAGGAGGAGAAGCTCTATACACCCTGTCTACAGTGGTTTTCTCTCTCCTGTTGAGGAAGGTGGGGAAAGTGTTTGGGGCACTAAGGCTTTTGTTATTTTGTGGTTTTAGGCTTCTTCATTTGCAACAGTGGTCATCTATGTAATGGACACATCACGAAGCACCAACCCAGTGACCTTTATGTCCAATATGTTGTATGCCTGCAGGTAACTGACTTTTGGGGTGCATGATGTTCTATCAAGGTAGGAGGCTTCCTTCTTTTTTGTTATTTTCTTTATTCTTTTTTTTTTTTGGTGGGGGGGGGGGGGGACAATGCCAGAGAAGAAACGAGACACATAGTTGCCATTCACTCTCAGCACTTTTCTTCTGACCTTCTCTTGCTTGTCACTAAAATAGGGCATAGATGCATACAGACATTTTGATAATTGCTTCCTGGTGAGAGAAAACCAAATCTTAACAGAAGAGTGTCTGAATAGTGATTTCATGTCTTACGATAATTAGAGGGAAATTTTAATATGAGGAACAAAATGTTTTATCTAAGGTAGGCCTGGTGGCAGACACTTGTTGGTTTTTTTCCTCTTGAGAGAGGAGACAAGGCCATGTCAAAACAGGTAACTACGGGCCTGGGAAGGTGGCTCAGTGGTAGAGTGCTTGCCTTGCATGCATGAGGCCCTGGGTTCAATTCCTCAGTACCACATAAGCAAAAAGAAAAAAGCCAGAAGTGGCGCTGTGGCTCAAGTGGTAGAGCGCTAGCCTTGAGCTGAAGAGCTGAGGGACAGTGCCCAGGCCCAGAGTTCAGGCCCCACGACCGGACCCAAAAGCAAACAAACAAAAAACAACAACAACAACAACAAAAACAGGTAACTACTTTGGAATTTGCAGAAAGCTGTTTCTTCTGTCTTTACTTAGTCCCAAGAGATTGACACCTGGCAAATAAGAGCTTACTTGATTTTATTAATACCGTCTCCATGTTTTATTTTCAGCATCTTGTACAAAACCAAGCTGCCTTTCATTGTAGTCATGAACAAAGTAAGTGGATACCACCTGTTGTGATTTCAACGTTCTTTTTACAGCAGGGCCTTGTGTGATGTTGTGGGGGCCGAAGGGGTGCGAAGAGTTACTATTACTACTCTAGGTCCTGGAGAGCAGATTCTGGTTTTGCTGAATCAAGTAGTTGGCACATCAGAGAACTGGATTCAATGAATTGGAATGAATACTTTGCACTGACTCTTACCTAGAGTTATTTTATCCCTCAGAATCAGGACTGTGGGGCTGGAGGCATGGCTCCAGTGGTAGAGCACCAGCCAAGATGGGAAAACCTGAGCAAGAGTGCAAGACCCTCAGTTTCAGCCCTAGTACCAGCACTAGAGGGGGAAAAGAAGGGTTAGAATTGTATGAATAGGGAAGGAAAATAAATATAGTGGGAGTATGGATTAAACAGAAAAATTCAACTTCTTGGGGCTGGGAAGGTGGCTCAGTGGTATAGCACTTGCCTTGCATGCCTGAGTCCCTGGGTTTGATTCCTCAGCACCACATAAGCAAAAAGAAAAATGCCGGAAGTGGTGCTGTGGCTCAAGTGGTAGAGCGCTAGCCTTGAGCTGAAGAGCTGAGGGACAGCTCCCAGGCCCAAAGTTCAGGCCCCATGACTGGACCCCCCCCAAAAAAAAAAGAAAAGAAAAGAAAAATTCAACTTCTTTATTGTTTGATGCAGTAGGGGAGACAGGAAGAAAGCGTGTGGCTGATATGCTCTCTGTTGCCATCATTTAACTTAAAAATGACTTAGCCATTGTTTGGTCTATGATATAGTTTCTAGTTGCTAAAATAGTTGCCTTTTCCCTGGTATAGACCGACATCATTGATCACAGCTTTGCAGTGGAATGGATGCAGGACTTTGAAGCTTTCCAAGATGCCTTGAATCAAGAGACCACATATGTTAGTAACCTGACTCGTTCAATGAGTCTAGTGTTAGATGAATTTTACAGCTCCCTCAGGGTGGTCGGTGTCTCTGCCGTTCTGGGTACCGGCTTGGATGAGCTGTGTGTGCAAGTCACCAGTGCTGCAGAAGAATATGAAAGGTGAGGTGAAAGAAAAGTCTATGGATGACATTCTCAGGAAGACACAATTCTGATAATGGTAGCTGTTTGGCTAGGCAAAGCATTAGGTTACCATTGTGTATGTAGTCTGTCTACCTTGTCCTTAGGTACTAGACCTGATCACACTTAAGTGTAACAAGTTTTAATTCACATTTTTTTTTAAAGTGTAAGATCTTCATTAAGTGTAGGAGGCAGGGATTATCAAATCTATTCTGTAATGAACTACTCTAAATGTTTTGGGCTTTGTGGGCAACTGCTCATTTCTGCCATTGTAGGACAAAAGCACCTAGAGACTATCTAGACAGAGGGTCATGTTGTATTCATACAAAGTATTAGCAAATTTGACATTTGCTGGATTTGACATTAAGTTCAGTGTGAGGGTTATTTGAGAAAATACATGTAAAGTCCTTAGCCCACTTACTGACATGAAGTAATACATTTCCTGAGAAATGGCCCTTAGACCTGTGTCATTGCTAATATTAGAATCCTGTTCACCTGGCATGGACTTCAGCCATAGTCTGAGTGGCTCCTGACCAGTATGCTGCTTTGGCTTCATACTTTGAGGGACCCTAACAACCACATCCTGGTTTTTTGTTTTGTTTTGTTTTTGTTTTTTACCAGTCTTGGGGTTTGAGCTCAGGGCCAGGCCTGGGCACTGTTCCTGAGTGTCTGTTTTTGCTCAAATATAGCACTCTGCCACTTGAGCTACAGCGCCACTTCTGGCTTTTCCTGTTTATGTGGTACTGAGGAACCGAACCCAGGGCTTGAACTCTGGACTTGGGCGCTGTCCCTGCTCTCTTCAGCTCAAGGCGAGTGCTCTACCGCTTGAGCCACTGCGCCACTTCCAGTTTTCTAGTGGTTTATTGGAGATAAGAATCACAGACTTTCCTGCCCGGGCTGGCTTTGAACCGTGATCCTCAGATGTCAGCCTCCTGAGTAGCTAGGATTACAGGCTTGAGCTACTGGTGCCCAGCTCCATCATGGTTTTTAGACATATTGTTTTCATGTTGACTCACTTGGCAAGGGTTTTTGTGTATGTCACCAAGGTTCAGAAAGGACTGTTTTCTGGATCCTTACTTGGTAATCATCACTTATTATTGGGCTTCCTGAGCTCCAGGGGCTTATCTTCTTATGTATTCCCCTCACGTGAACGATGAGCTGCTCAGTCCTGGTGGCTTCCCTTCCAGCCCTGCAGTCAGGAGTTGTTTTTTTTTCTCGTTGGTTTAGGGAGGCACTGTGGCTTTGACTAGAATGTGTTCCATCAGATATGATAGTGATCTGAGTAGTCATGGTGGATTATTCTGGAAATGAATTTAGAAAGTGTTTCTTTTTCCAGAGAGTATCGTCCTGAATATGAACGTCTGAAGAAATCGCTGGTAAGAAAAGAGGCTGTATGTATATGGTAGGGCCATCAAAAAAGCAACCTACACCCAGAGCTGGCACAGGCCAGCCATTTGGAGGCTGATAGGAGAGAAAATCTTGACCCCAGCAGTTGGAGGCCAACCTGAGCAATGTCGCTAGCCTGTCTTTTAAAACAAAAGGCAATTTCCTCAAGCTTGCTGACATAAATATTTTTTCCACTCATTATTTATACAAAAGGACTGAGGGTGTGGCCTCCATGATAGAGTGCTTGCTAGCAAGTGTGAGGTCCTGGGTTTAGTCCCCAGTACTTCACACACACATACAAACACACAAAAAAATGGTGGCTCACAACATTTCTCAACCGATTAAGTATGCTGCCCTTAGCCTATGTTGGATCTTCTTGTTTAGGTCTATTTGAAGCTCTTTGGATGTGTTTTTGGGTCTGATTTCTAAATCAGCCTGCAGATTTCCCTAGTCTTGGCCCATACTGCTCACTATTTCCTGTCCTGATATCAGCCATTCCTTCTCATTCTCTAGTATGTGTATTCTTCCACTCATCTCAGAAGGCTGGTCTTTAATTTGTGCTCCTTTATTATTTCGGTGTATTTCGTTTCTTTGTGCTGGGGGTTGAGCCCAGGGCTTTTTACAGGTTAAGAACACACTCGGCTCCTTTTTTAAGTTCATGGACATTTCCTCTGTACTTACAGGCAAGTGCCCAGAGTGAACAGCAGAAAGAACAGCTGGAGCGCCTGCGGAAGGATCTGGGCTCCGTAGCCTTGGACTCAGGGACTGGAAAAGGTATTGGTAGTGGTTGGGGTTGGGGGAGGAAGCTTGGTGTGAGACATATGGAGGGAGTGCTTACTCCACTTAACAGGAGTATTTCTGTATATCACAAGACAGAAATGGATCAGGACGAGTGTGTATATGCATATGTGTTTGACAGGATACTTGATGTCTGCTCTGGCTTTTTTTTTTTTTTGGTGACAGTTTTAATCTCTTACAACAGTTTTTTTTCAGCCTTTAAAAAAAATTGGCTTATATAAGTTATGTGGAGGAGGAGTTCATTGTTACATATCTACACAGTTACAGTATATTCCAACCAGTTTCACCCTCTCTCTCATTCTCCCTTCCACAACTATATTCATTCGCTTTCAAGATATATTTCAAGTCAGGCATCAGTGGCTCACACCTGTAATCCTAGCTGCTCAGGAGACAGATTTGAGGATTATGGTTTGTAGCCAGCCCAGGTAGGAAAGTCCATGAGACTCTTATCTTCAGTAAACCACTCAGAAAAAGATGGAAATGGCACAGTGGCTCAAGTGGTAGAGGGCTAGCCTTGAACAAAAAGAGGCTCAGGGTCAGTGTCCAGACCCTGAGTTCAAGCCCCAGGACAAGAAAAAATTATTTATATATATATATATATATATACATATACATACACATATGTATATATATGTGTATATGTATGTATGTATATATACATATATATGTGTATATATACATACATACATACATACATACATATATTATTCATCCTCTATTTTTTTCCTCTTCTCCCTTCTCTATCCCATCCATTTTTATTTTTTTAAAAAAAGTTTACAGTCTTGGGCTGGGAAGGTGGCTCAGTGGTAGAGCGCTAGCTTTGAACTAAAGAGCTGAGGGACAGCAGCCAGGCCCAGAGTTCAGGCCCCACAACTGGACCCCCCAAAAAAAAGTTTACAGTCTTATGACTGAAGTTTAGATTTACTGAAGACTTAGTGTCAGAGGTTAATACAAAGAATTGTCATAACTTTTGATAATTCCAAAATGTTCTTTTCCTTTTCTCCCTCTTTGTCCCTTCCCTCATTTTTGTCTTTCTCAATCTTCTTATATACCACATGACTTTATATATCATTTAAATATATATCATTATTCAATTATTTAAAATTAAATTACAAGCCAGGCGCCTGTGGCTCACACCTGTAATCCTAGCTACTCAGGAAGCCAGCCCGGGCAGAAAGTCCCTGAGACTCTTATCTTCAATAAGCCACTAGAAAACTGGAAGTGGTGCTGTGGCTCAAGTGGTAGAGTGCTCGCCTTGAGCTGAAGAGCTTAGGGACAGTGCCCACGCCCAGAGTTCAAGCCCCACGCCCAACAAAAATAAAAAAAACCCCCAACAAACCTAAATTACAAATATACACTCCTTTACTTTGAATATTTCCATGTGTATTTCCTGTTTCTTGAATGACATGCTAGTTGCTCAACCCATTCTGTATTTTTGAACTTTTAATCCAACCGGGAAGCTGCCTCAGCAGCTCACTGAATCTGTTCTGTCTTTAGCTTTCATAATTAGAAAGCACAGCCTCTTGCAGGCTGTAAGCTGATGAAACAACACCAGTATTCCTAAGACAAGTGTTCGTGTTCTCTCTCTCTCTCTTTTTTTTTTTTTGTTGGTTGTGGGGCTTGAGCTCTAGGCGTTGTCCCTGAGCTCTTCAGCTCAAGGCCAGCACTCTAGCACTTGAGCCACAGCACCATTTCCATCTTTTTCTAAGTGGTTTACTGGAGATGAGTCTCATGGACTTTCCTGCTTGGGCTGGTTTTGAACTGCAATCCTCAGATCTCAGCCTCCTGAGTAGCTAGGATGACAGGCGTGAGCCACTGGCACCCAGCTTGTACTCTCTTCAGTGGGATTTCTTGCACTGTTTGGCTTGCAAAAGAACATTGTGAACTGAATTACTAGGAAATAATAAGTAGCCTTAGTAAAACATTTAGAAGTAGTAAGGCCTTGTGAGCAATCTCATGCTGCTGGTCGATAATCATAGTTACTTAAAGAGTCACTTTCCTAGAGGCACACTTGTACTAATACAGGTTTTCACTCTAGACAGTATGTCTCCTGTGCTGGGCCCTTCTGACCTGATCCTGACTCGAGGAACCTTGGATGAAGAGGATGAAGAAGCAGACAGCGATACTGATGACATTGACCACAGGGGTGAGATGTGGCCGAAGTGGCTCCTGAACACAGAGGGGCTTTAGGATAAGGGGCTTTAGGCAAGACCTCAGCCATGCTGTAGTAATAAGCAGAAGGGTAGGTGGTAAAGAGCACGACACTAGAACATTCCTGTCCTTCTGTGGATTGGTTACTGCTGAGCTGATTGCAGGCCTTTTATTGGACTTAAGTCTTCTCATCTTGAAGTTTAAACTCAATTTGAAGAAACCAGGTTTATGTGTGTTATTTGGTTTGTGGTTTTTACCTGTCATGTTAAGGCCTCGTGTTTGCTAAGCATGCACTCTTACCTGAGCATCTTCCCTAGCAACTGGTGGTTTTTTTTGCCTGCCATGGGACCTGATCTCTAGGCATTGTGCTTGAGTGCTTCAGCTCAAGGCTAGCGCTCTACCATTTGAGCCACAGTGCCACTTCCGGCTTTTTCTGCTTATGTGGTGCTGAGGAATCGAACCCAGGGCCTCATGCATTCGAGGCAAGCACACTACCTAACTGAGCCACTTTCCCAGCCCTGCATCCAATGTTTAAGAATATCTAAGAATCTGAGTGCCGGTGGCTCACGCCTGTAATCCTAGCTACTCAAGAGGCTGACATCTGAGGATCGCAGCTCAAAGCCAGCCCAGGCAGGAAAGTCTGTGAGACTCTTATCTCCAATAAAAACCACTAGAAAACTGAAAGTGATGCTGTTGCTCAAGCGGTAGAGCGCTCAACTTGAGCTGAAGAGCACAAGGACAGCGCCCAAGCCCAGAGTTCAAGCCCCACGACAGAACCAGATGTGGTTATGCCCTCTTCTTATTTCAGCACTTGGGTATGTAAGTCAGGAGGACTGTAAGTTGGAGGCCAGCCTCTAACTTTTAATAGGAGACCCTATTTAAAAAAAAATACATAAGGAGATCATAAGTAAAGACCTAACCAAATACAACAGTAAGACAGAAAAACGTAGAAAACTATTTCTACTCAGTATTGCTTTCTGGATTTCAGATCTATTTCTTTTTTTTTTTTTTTGGGTCCGGTGGTGGGGGCTTGAACTCTGGGCCTGGGCGCTGTCCCTCAGCTCTTCAGCTCAAGGCTAGCACTCTACCACTTGAGCCACACTCACCACTTCCGGCTTTTTTCTTTTTGCTTATGTGGTGCTAAGGAATCGAACCCAGGGCCTCATGCATGCAAGGCAAGCGCTCTACCACTGAGCCACCTTCCCAGCCCTCAGATCTATTTCTTGCAGCAGCTCTAGGGTGTAGGTCCTGGCCCTCTCTTTATTCTCAAATGGACCTATTATGCAAACTACTTTATAAGATTTATTGAGAAGTAAATTATAAATAGTAAAACTAACCCCATTTAAGTATGTCATTTAATGAGTTTTAGCAAACATTCACAACTACTGTCACAGTCAAGATATATCATGCCAAAAAGTTGTCTAGTGCCCCTTACATTCAGTTTCTTCCTCAATACCTTGTTTCTAGCACCCATGGCTGCCTGCTGTTCCACAATGTTTTGATATTCTTGTTGCTTCACTCTGTTTTTGACACAGGATCTTGCTGTGTAGCCCAGGCTGGCCTTGAACTTACGATCCTCTTAGCTTAGCTTCCTGAGTACAGGGATTACAAGAGTGTGCCACTACACTGGCAGTGTGCCTTCAATCTTTCCTTTTCCAGAATGTCCTACAATTAGGATGATAGTATTTAATCTTCTGACTTTTCTTTTAAACTTAGCATCATGATTTTTTTTTTTTTTTTTTTTTGGTTCAGTCGTAGGGCCTGAACTCTGGGCCTGGGCGCTGTCCCTCAGCTCTTCAGCTCAAGGCTAGTGCTCTACCACTTTGAGCCACAGTGTCACTTTTGTTTTTTTTTTTCTTTTTGCTTATGTGGTGCTGAGGAATCGAACCCAAGGCCTCAGGCATGCAAGACCAGCGCTCTACCACTGAGCCACCTTCCCAGCCCAAGCATCATGATTTTATAGTCTTTCCATGTTGTATATGTCCAGAGTAGTGTACTCCTTTTTTTTTTATTACTTAGTAATAACCTATCACTTGGATTTAGCCTTTCCTCAACTGATTGACATTTTGGTTGATTTAAGCTACAATTGGTAAAGCTGCTATAGATATCTGTGAATAGGTATTAACATGGGCATGTTTTCATTTCTCTTGACTAAAAATACCTGTATCTCATTTCAATGACTGCTTTATGAGGGAGATAGTTGCCCCGCATAGAAGGAAGGTACATATTTTGGCAGTTTGATAAATTCAACAGACTTCTGGGAAATTGTGGTGCATTGCATGCCAAGGCATGTGGGGGCCAAGGCAAGCATGCAGCCATCTGGAGCTCCACAGTGAGTTCTTGTCTCAAAAAACAAAAACAAATTTGCTGGGCTTTAGTGGCTATAATCCTAGCTACTTAAGAGGCTGAGATATGAGGATCACAGTTCAGAGTCAGCTCAGGCAGACAAATCTGAGAAATTCTTATCTCCAATTAGCCAGAAAAGGCTGGACCTGCAAAAGGGGAGCTTGAGACCCAGAGTTCAAGTCCTGATACCAGCACATACACACAAAGTACTATTTCCGATAGATGGTGACAAGATACCAGATGTCTAATGCAAGAGTTTGTTTTTTTAATTTAATTAATGGGGGGCAGAGTGCTATACTGGGGTGTTTGGACTTAGTAACTCTAGCTTGCAAGGCTGGTGTGATACCTACCACTGAGACATGTATCCAGTTCTGATTTTCACAGGTTGTTTTGAGATAGGGTCTTGCTTCCCACCCAGGCAACCACCTGACCTGAGATCTGCCAACATTCTTTTTTTTTTTTTTTGGTTGGTCGTGGGGCTTGAACTCTGGGCCTGGGCAATGTCCCTCAGCTCTTCAGCTCAAGGCTAGTGCTGTACCACTTGAGCCACGATGCCACTTCTGGTTTTCTGGTGGTTTATTGGAGATAAGAGTCTCAGGGACTTTCCTGCCTGGGCTGGCTTTGAACTGCGATCCTCTGATCTCACCCTCTTGAGTAGCTAGGATTACAGATATGAGCCACCTATGCCCAGCTAAAACTGCCAACTTTTAGGTGTCCTGTCATTGATGGGTTCAAAGGCACATGCCAACGTGTCCATCTTCCTTTGTTTTGTCAGTCGTGGGGCCTGAACTTGGCCTGGGCACTGTACCTGAGCTCTTCAGCTCAAGGTGAGTGCTCTACCACTTGAGCCATAGCACCACTTCTGGCTTTTTCTGTTTATGTGGTGCTGAGGAATTGAACCCAGGGCCTCATACATGCAAGGCAAGTACTCTACCACCGAGCCACCTTCTTAGCCCTCCATTTTTTTTTGCGGGGGGGGGAGTCCGGTCATGGGCCTGAACTCTGGGCCTGGGTGCTCTCCCTCAGCTCTTCAGCTCAAGGCTAGCGCTCTACACTTGAGCCACAGCGCCACTTCTGGCTTTTTTTTTCCTGCTTATATGGTGCTGAGGAATCGAACCCGGGGCCTCATGCATGCAAGGCAAGTGCTCAACCACTGAACCACCTTCCCAGCCCTCCATTTTCTTTTTTTTTTTTGTCGGTCGTGGGGCTTGAACTCTGGGCCTGGGCGCTGTCCCTCAGCTCTTCAGCTCAAGGCGAGTGCTCTACCACTTGAGCTACAGCACCACTTCCGGTTTTCTGGTGGTTTATTGGAGATAGGAGTCTCATGGTCTTTCTTGCCCGGGCTGGCTTTGAACCGCGATCCTCAGATCTCAGCCTCCTAAGTAGCTAGGATTACAGGCGTGAGCCACCAGCGCCCGGCACCTTCCATTTTCTTGTAGAGACAGATTCTCATGGATTTTGTGTCCAGGTGGCCTGATACCATGATCTGGGATGACTGACTGGCACATAACACTGTACCCGGGTGGGGTTTGAAGTCTCAGAACTTTTCTCCCCAGGCTACTATTGCAGCCTTCCAAGTAGGATTATAGGCATGAGTCCCTGATGCCTGGCTTGTTTCAAATGTTTAAAAAATACCTCCTTTTTGTTTCCCTGCAGTTACAGAAGAAAGCCATGAAGAACCAGCATTTCAGAATTTTATGCAAGAAACAAAGGCACACTACTGGAAGAGAAATAACACAAAGGAGACTTAGGAGATCTCATTTGTTTCTACAAGTGCAAGGCCCTGGAACTTCATGTGAAGAAGCTGTTTTTACCTGTGATTTGCAGCTACAATAAATAGTTTTCCTTGGAATTACAGAATTTCTCTTTTAAGGGAAATGTTGTGAAGGATAGAAGACATGGTGGAGCTGGCCTTTTCCTTGTACTTACGCAAGGAAGCCTGTACCATTCTTGGAGACTGATACCCCTTATTCTAAACTTGCGTTTTGGCATTTGACCTCAGACACTTTTCTGTGAATGGAATGCAAAGGACTCACCATCCTGATAACCACTTCAAGTCTCACTGGATCCACAGCCTCTACTTGTGCAGCACTGGACCCTTGACTGCACCAATTGTTCTTTTAGCAGGAAGGGAGGGGCAGTATGAGCTCCTCTGGAGTGGCAGTGGGGTGCCCTTGGCAGCCAGTCAATGCTGGCATGAAGCATGCCTCACACTAGGCATATTATCTCATTATAAGACCCAGCTTTGTTAAAGAAAGTGGGTAAACATGATTTCTGAGTAATAAGAGTTTTACTTAGATTGTGACTTGGATAAAGTTTTTTCTAACTCTGTCAGAAGCCTCTCTTTTATTTCAAATTAGAAGATTGAGCCAGGCGCCAGTGGGTCATGCCTGTAATCCTAGCTATTCAGGAGGCTGAGATTTGAGGATTCTGGTGGAAAGCCAGCCTGGGCAAGAAAGTCCGTGAGACTCTTAACTCCAGTTAACCACCAAAAGACTGAAGTGGCGCTATGGCTCAAGTGGTAGAGTGCTAGCCTTTAGCTGAAGAGCTCAGGGACAACACCCAGGTCCAGAGTTCAAGTCCCATGACCAACAAAACAACAAAAAATTCAAATTAGAAAATGGTATAATCACAAATAGATTCACTGCTGCTCAGCAGTGAGCCTTAAAGCAAGATGTCCAAACTTGTCTCAGTAGGGAAGTGAAGTGATATTCCCCATTACTGCCACCTGATCAGGTACTGAGCCAGGCCTGTTTGTACTGTATTTGTTGCAGAGTATCTTTGGTGATGTGTTCAAGGCCATGGCTTTCAGTTAGGTGTACAATCATCCATCACTGACTAGAAGGGTTTTTCCTGGCTACTCTAAATAAATGGTCAGTGTCTCTCAGGCAACAGTGTAGGGCACTAAGCTAGGGAGTTGTGCACAGCAGTTTGAAACTTTTGGAAGCCTATAATGTAATTGCAAGCCAGGTGGAACAGGTGCCAATGATCCTATGACTTGATATATCAAGTACCCTGATCTCCATCCTATGATGCCTGTTCTCCAACACAAGCCTTCCAAAGCAATGCACATATCTTACTATGAAATACCAATTGCAGTATGCCATACCTATCAGGAGACACTGTTCCAAAAATGACATTCCTACTGTGGAGCAGTTCTGGCTTTAAACTTGCTGCATAGCCTGGTCTGGCTTTGAACCATCACCTTGAGTGTTGGGATTGTAGGTATGTACCACTATCCCCAGCTTGACCTGTTCTTTATGGGGAAACTTTACAAAGAAAACTGAACATGCGGGCTGGGAAGGTGGCTCAGTGATAGAGCGCTTGCCTTGCATGCATGAGGCCCTGGGTTTGATTCCTCAGCACCACATAAGCAAAAAGAAAAAAGCCGGAAGTGGCGCTGTGGCTCAAGTGGTAGAGTGCTAGCCTTGAGCTGAAGAGCTGAGGGATAGCGCCCAGGCCCAGAGTTCAGGCCCCACGGCCGGACCCCCCTCAAAAAAAAAGAAAAAGAAAACTGAACATGCTTTATTTTTCTCTGCAGTGTCTGCTCACATTCTTTTCCTTAAAATATAATTTACCTTGTGCTATTAGGCCTATTAAAAGGATGGTAGTAAGCCTTCATACTTATATTGCTAGCACAGGAACTAGCACTTTACATGTTTGAACAAATGAATTAAGTACTTAAATGCTAAATGGCTATTTCCTTTACATTGCCTGAGGACTGCTTTTGTCCAGAGAAAAGGGAAAATACTGCTGACCAGAAAAGACTTTTTTTTGGGGGGGCGGGGAGGGAGGACAAGTCCTGATGCTTGACCTCAGGTACTAGGTGCTATTCCTGAGCTTTGAGTCACAGCTCCACTTTTTGATTTTTGGTGGTTAATTGGAAATGAGTCATGCTTTGTCTGGTCTGGCTTTGAACCATTATCCTTAGATCTCAGTCTCCTAAGTAGCTAGAATTACAGGTGTGAGCCACCAGCAACTGGCAAGATTATGAGACATCTCCAATGTAGTAGCAAAGAAGCTAAAGAAAAAAGTGGAGGTTTGGCTTAAGTGATAGAGCTCCAGTCTGAGTGAAGAAGCTATGCAAGAGCCCTGAATTCAAGCCCCAGGTCAGGCACACAAACACAAAAACCAGTAACCTTTAATTTTATTTTTTTCTGGTCAGTCATGGGGCTTGAACTCTGGGCATGGGCGCTGTCCCTGAGCTCTTCAGCTCAAGGCAAGTGCTCTACCACTTGACCACACTGCCACTTCCATTTTTTCATGTGTGGTTAACTGGAGATAAGAGTCTTAATGGACTTTCCTTTTGAACTGTGATCTTCAGATCTGAGCCACCTGAGTAACTAGGATTACAGGCTTGAGCACCAGTGCCTGGCTAACCCTTAATTTTCTACCTTTTCATGGGGGACTTAACATTTCTCCAACCTCAGGTTGGGTTTGGCTGCCAGGTGGGAAACTCTTGAATTCAACTTTCTCGCCAGTCTCTAGCTCTCCTGGTAAAAGGAAGTAGGTCACACAGCTTGTATTGTGTATCCAGACCTTGGTTCACAGACCTTTGTTAGCTCTAAGCAAATTAACTTCATCTCTCTGGACCTCAGTTCCTCATAGTAGTAAAGTGATGTACTACTCTAATTTTTTTTTTTTTTTAATTGTGGGGCTTGAACTAAGGGCCTGGACACTTTCCTTGAACTTTTCACTCAAGGCTAGCACTCTACTACTGAGCCACAGCACCACTTCTGGTTTTCTAGTGGTTAATTGGTGCTCTCAGGACTTTCCTGCCTGGGTGGCTTTGAACCATAATCCTCAAATCTCAGCCTCCCAAGCAGATAGGATTATAGGCATGAGCCACTGGTGCCCAGCGCTCTAATATTTTAAAAGGCCAATTCACGGAGTAGCAGGTGATTTAACAGAAAGGGCAAAGACTTTGAAGTCAGTTGGTCTGGTGGATTCTTTATCATGATGGCAGGTACTGTTCTTGGTGCCAGAGGTTCTCTTTGAGAAGCTCACATTTTAACTGTGAGGTGGTGGTAGTGTTCAGTACTAGTTAGCCTAGTGGGCTTGGGAAAGTCACTTTGCCCCTCAGCTTGTTTTCTGCCTCTGTAAAATGGGTATTAGAACAACATTTCAAGATTTCTTGTTAAGATTTAACACAGAAGAATTTAAAGCAATAATTAATAGAGGCTCAATGCAAGTAATGTGATATAAGGTGACAAAACACTTTAATTCTATCAAATATGTGAATTATTTTTCATCTCTGTGACTTTCAAGCCACAGGCATCACAAAATACAGTAGAACCAATAAGCTTCTTTTCCTTTAAAATAAAAACCAAAGAGGCTATCTAAATAAAATGGCTATGTCACCACAGATCTCTAATTTCTTGAGACTTCATAGGGAGCAAAAACAGCCTAAAAAATAAGACTGATAAAAAAATAAGACTGTTAAGTGGGCACTGGTGGCTTACCCCTAGAATCATAACTACTCAAGAGGCTGAGATCTGAGGATCACAGTTTGAAGCCAGCCTATGCAGACAAATCTGAGATTCTTATTTTCAGTTAGCCAACAAAAAGCTGGAAGTGCAGGCATTACTCAAGTGATAAAGTATCATCAAGTGAAAGCTTAAGGCTCTGAGTTCAAGCCCTAGCCTGAACTCAGTGCCAGCTCAGAAAAACAATGACAAAAGCTTTGTTGTGTTTAGCTATTTCTTGTTACATATTAGTAATGGATTCTCAATGACTTGAACCAAAACTAAGTTAAACAAAAAATGGTATGTGATACTGGCATGAGTCTGTTCAAACAAAGTTTTGAAGTTTAGCCAATATCTCAGTCCTCCTTTGTGTGCAAGGTAGATCACTCTGCTTCTTCTCAGTTGTGCAAGACAAATGGCGGCAGAGAAGCTAAGGAATGTGTGTCATCAGCCAATAAAACAATGGCTAGGGAAAGTGCTTTGGTCTTCTGATTACTATGCCAGCATTGTGATCAATTCACCAACAGTGGCTTGGTTGTTGTAGAAAACTATAAAAACAACGCCACAGTAAAATGTAACCTTGCTTGGTTAGGCCCATTGTATCTAAGAATAGGAATCAAATCAGTTATGAAAACAAATGCTAACACATTTGCTGTTATATCTTCCTCAGTCTCTTCTTGCAGCGCTGGTTGAAAACAGGGGAGGATCCCATGAGGCTGTCAGTGGAGTGGGAACCATAGCTGCTGTCTGAGTCGTCAGGGCTCTGTGGGATCCCAGCTTCACTCATGCCTGACATGGGCTCCTCGAAGACATCACCACCCAGCACACCGTGCCCGGACACGTTGCCTTCTTCACTCTCCTGAGGCTCCATTTTCACATGGGCCAGGTTCCAAAGAGGAGAAGCATTTACCTCTGCACCTAGAGACACAGGGAACAGCCTGGTAAACCTAACGGTAATATCCCACAATGACTAATGTCCTAGGAGTTCAGGTTTGACCTTGATTCTGTACTTGGCTGGAGCACATGGCTGTTAATCTGTGCTTCAAAAATTGTGTAACTGTGTAATCCCAATCCCAATCTGTTCTGCACACCTTTTTTTTTTAACTACTTTCACCTGTCCTTGCTTTGCCTCTCTTAGTCCCATGTTCCCCTAAACCAAAAAATAAAACTACAGGTGCAAAGACTGCACAGCTCACAGAAAACCACAACTTAATCAGTTGTTTAGGTTGCCTGTCTTTCTTTCTTTTATGGGCTGACTTGTTTTCCTGCCTTTTCACTCTGGTCCTCTCACACGATGAAAACATAATGATTACTACATAATGCTGATAGCAATTCCCTACTTGTCTTCACTGACGAGTCGTATTCCTTACACCTTTACCTCCTGTCACTCTCAATGTATTCTAGCAAGGTTGTCCTGCTGGGGTTTTGTTTTTTATAGTGCCAAGCTTGGGCCTTGAACTCAGGGCCTGGGTGTCGTCCCTGAGCTTTTGTGCTCAAGGCTAGCACTATCATTTGAGCCACGGGTCTACTTTTGGCTTTTCTGGTAGCTATTTGGAGATAAGAGTCTCATAGACTTTCTTGCCCCTGCTGGCTTTGAATCTTGATTCTCGGATCTCAGCCTCCTGAGTAGCTAGCATTACAGCTGTGAGCCACTGGTGACCAGCTAAGGTTGTCCTGCTGTAATTCCTGTTTCTTCCCTGGTAAAGTCATTCTTCCCAACACCAGCTTAATTCCACTTGAGTCACATTTGGGGATTTGCTATTTGAATTATTGTGTACTGATGAAGTGATACTTTATATCTGTAAACAAATAAGTGCCCTGATGTATTTGCAGTTTAAGTGACTCAAGTATTGCATCAGGCTGAGTCTA